CAATGAACCAAACCCCAACTCCACTTTACCAAAATACCCCCTCGAACCACCAAGCTCCACAACCAAATTATCAAACCAACTCATATCCCAGATATCAAACCCCCCGTTCGAATGCTCCAAATTATCGCCAAACGCCTCCCCCTCAACAAGGCGATTACGATCCCTCTCATCCTAGATTCGAGAAGAAGCTTACTAGAATTTTCACTCCGCTTATTGAAAGCTGAACAAAGTTATTCAAGCGATTAACTGTGGCAGGATATATTCATCAAGTGGGGCCCAAGCCAGTTGACACTAGCTCAAAGTTTTATAGACCTGATCAGAGGTGCGCGTATCACTCCAACAGTGTTGGACATGATACCGAGGATTGTATCAACCTAAAGCATAAGATCTAAGTCCTGATTGACCAAAATGTGGTCTCGCTTCATACAGTCGCCCCCAATGTCAATAGTAATCCTCTGCCAAATCATGGAGGCGTCACTATCAATTGATAGAGATGGATGGTGATTGGTGTGTTACAAAGGCAATATTTCCGATTGCTCCTGATGAACTGGAAAGGGTTGTAACTTCGTTGAGCATCAGAGAGAAGGAAGAGTTTGTAATTCTGACACCCGAGAAGGTTGTTGCCTTGGTGTCGAGAGAAACTCTTGCCCGACCAAAGTTAGTGATTGAAACGGCTGTTACCCAAGGTATGACCAGATCTGGCAAGTGCTACACGCCAGAAGAGCTGATCCAGGGTGTGCAAAAGAAGTACCAAACAAAAAGGCCAATAAGTTCTGGAGAAAAATGCAGCCGAAAGATTATTCAATTGTGAAGCATTTGGAGAAGACGCCGACTCAGATCTCTGTGTGGGCCTTATTGATGAGTTCACAGTTGCATAGGCAGGCTCTGATGAGAGCTTTAGATGATACTTATGTGTCTGTGGGTACTAACAGTGACAATTTAGCAGCCATGATAAACCAGGTCATCCAAGGACACTGAATCAGTTTTTGTGACGAAGAGCTGCCTTTTGAAGGAAGAATGCACAACAAAGCTATGCACGTCACCATCAAATGCCGGGATAAAGTTATAAATCATGTTTTGGTCGACGATGGGTCCGATCTCAACATCTGCCCGCTTTTGACTCTCAAGCAGTTGAAATTCAACTTGGAAAAGGTTCAACAAAACCAGGTCAATGTTAGAGCTTTCGATGGAGTGCAGAGAGACATAATAGGGGCAGTAAATTTGGATATCCAAATGGGACCTGTAGAATTCAATGTGGAGTTTCAGGTGTTGGACATCAATACCAGCTACAATTTGTTTCTTGGAAGACCGTTTATCCACATGGTTGGGGCTATGCCTTCTACCCTTCACCAACTGATGAAATTTGTTTGGAAGGACCAGGAATTGGTCATTCATGGTAAGAGGAGTCATTCCGATGGGTATGTGCCAATCGTTCACGAGGTTTCCTGAGGTTGTGATTTCTACACGGTGGAGCTAGTAAATGCCACCGATGATGATTTGGGTCTGCAACCTCTTATACCTTCTGTGTACAAGATGATTGCTACTGTCATGCTCCAGAATAGTTTCGAACTAGGTTTTGGATTGGGGAAGCATTTCCAAGGAATCGTCGAGCCTATCTTAATTCCCGTCAAAAAAGCAAAGTTTGGTTTGGGGTATGTTCCAACAAATGACGAAGCGGAGAGGAAGAACAAGAGGGTTGATCAAGTTGTCTAGGCCAATTCTTCATCTGTACCAATCATTCTCGGTGCAAGAACACGTCAACAATGGTGGTCTCGGGGAAAGAATCTGAGGCCTATTTGAGGAGATAGATGCGGTCATCGAGGAAAAGGCTGGCCCATCAGGCATCCATGATGCAGAACCTGATGAGCAATTGCAGAACTGGACCGCCACACCACTCATGATTTCCCGCTCATCTGGGTAGAAAGGAAATGTGTTTTTGTTTGTTTTTAAAATCGGTAGTAGTCCGGAAGAGGCCCGAGACCCAGCCTTCATGCAATTGTTATTTGTTTGAAGCTTTTAAATTTCCTTGTGATGTTTAAAAAGGCAAAATGGCCCTCGGCCATGGCCAAAGTTTGTGCTTGTCTTTCAATTTAAATGAAAAGCCTCTCTTATCGAAATTGGTTTATTTTCCTATCTGTTACGTTTTACTTCCCTAACTTTGTTTGTTTATGATTTCAGTAATATTAATTTAAAACTTGTCAATGTCATGTCATGAACCGAGTGAACAAAATGAGGCAGGTGATGAGGAGTGCGAGGTGCATGAACAAGAAAATGATGTACCCGAACATATTGCCGAAGAGTTTTGACAATTTGAGAATCAACACAAGGCGAATTTAGAAGAAACTGAAACTGTGAATCTCGGAGATGAGAAATGTGTTAAAAAAGTAAGAATCAGTGTCCATCTGACTGAAACTCAAAGAAGAGACCTGGTTCGCTTGCTCAGAGAATACATCGACGTATTTGCCTGGTCTTACAGGGATATGCCAGGGCTAAGTACGAATATGGTATCCCATAAGTTATCGATTAACCCAGATTTCAGTCTAGTAAAACAAAAGACTCGGAAGTTCAAGCCTGAGTTAAGTTTGGAGATCAAAGAGGATATTACAAAGCAGATCGAGTCTCAAGTAGTGAAAGTGACGTAGTATCCGACTTGGTTAGCTAATGTTGTTCCGGTTGCCAAGAAAGACGAAAAAAATCAGAATTTGTGTTGACTACAGAGATCTCAACAAAGCTAGCCCGAAAGATAATTTTCCATTGTCAAACATTCACATCCTCATTGATAATTGTGCTAAGCATGAGATGCAGTCATTTGGGATTGTTATGCGGGTTATCACCAGATCCTGATGGATGAAGAAGATGCGGAAAAGACAGCTTTCATCACCCCCTGGGTGTTTATCATTATCGAGTGATGCCCTTTGGTCTAAAAAATGCGGGTGCTACTTATATGAGGGCTATGACAACCATCTTTCATGATATGATTCACAAAGATATCGAAGCGTATGTAGATGATGTCATAATCAAGTCCCGCAAGAGTTCGGATCACTTGACTCACTTGAGAAAATTCTTGATCGCTTACGTCGATACAATTTGAAGTTAAATCCCGCCAAATGTGTTTTTGGAGTGCCAGCTGGCAAGTTGTTGGGATTTATAGTCAGTAGGAAGGGCATTGAGCTTGACTTTTCGAAGATCAAGGCGATTTAAGAATTACCTCCTCCGAAGACCAAGAAAGAGGTGATGAGTTTTTTGTAAACCCATCTTTAAATTATTGAAAAAAGATGTGTCGACCAAATGGACCAGACAATGTCAAAATGCTTTTGATGCCATTAAGAACTATTTGTCCAATCCACCGGTGTTGGTCCCTCCGCGAGAAGGGAGTCCGTTATTGCTATATTTGTCGGTCTCGAATAACGCATTGGGGTGTGTGCTTGGTCAACATGATGAGACTGGGAAGACGGAGCGAGACATTTATTACTTGAGTAAAAAGTTCACTCCATATGAGGCTCGTTACACTCTTTTGGAGAGAACATGTTGTGCTTTGACTTGGATCGCTCAAAAGTTGAGACATTATTTGTCTTCTTATACCACGTACCTTATCTCCAGAATGGATCCGTTGAAGTATATTTTCCAGAAAGCAATGCCGACCGGGAAGTTGGCTAAATGGCAAATGCTTTTGAGTGAGTTTACATTGTGTATGTGACACAAAAGGTGATAAAGGCACAAGCCTTGGCTGATCAACCCGCGGAGAATCCAGTTGATGAAGAGTATGAACCGCTTAAGACTTATTTTCCCGATGAAGAAGTAGCGTTTGTGGGTGAAGATATTTCTGAAGCATATCCTGGTTGGAGAGTATTCTTTGATGGAGCGGCAAATCAACAAGGGAAAGGTATCGGAGCAATCTTAGTGTCAGAATCCGGTCAGCATTATCCTATGGTAGCTAAACTCCAATTTAATTGCACAAACAACATGGTTGAGTATGAAGCTTGCATCCTCGGTTTAAAGATGGCAATCGACATGAACGTTTATGAGCTTCTAGTTATTGGAGACTCAGACTTACTGATTCATCAAGTTCAAGGAGAATGGGCCGTGAAGAGCCCAAAAATCACATCGTACGTGCAGTATATACAGAAGTTATGCAAGAGATTTCGCAAGATTGAGTTCAGACATACTCCCAGAACACAAAATGAGTTGGTTGATGCTCTTGCCACCATTGCCTCAATGATCAAACATCTGAATACAAGTTATATTGATCCCTTGGATATAGAGGTAAAAGAGCAGCATGTCCATTGTTCACATGTTGAAGCGGAGCCAGATGATTTACCTTGGTATTTTGACATCAAGAAGTACTTGGAGACCAAAATTTATCTTGAGAATGCAACGTTCAACCAGAAGAAGTCGATACGCCGTATGACCCTCAATTTCTTTGCGAGTGGAGAAATCCTTTATAGGAGGACTCCAGATTTAAGTCTTCTCAGATGTGTTGATGCTAGTGAAGCTGCAAAGCTTCTGGAATAGATACATGCGGGAGTTTGTGGTACTCACATAAATGGTCTCACTTTGGCAAGGAAGATCATTCGAACCGGTTACTTTTGGATGACTATGGAACATGACAGTTGCAAGTTTGTGCAAAAGTGTCATAAATATCAAGTGTATGGAGATTTGATTCGGGTGCCGCCTCATGAACTCAATGCTATGAGTTCACCTTGGCCGTTTGTAGCTTGGCGCATGGATGTCATTGGTCCAATAGAGTCAGTCGCCTCTAACATACACAGATTCATTTTGGTTGCGATTGACTACTTCACCAAATGGGTGGAAGCAGCTTCATATAAGTTGGTGACCAAGAAGGTTGTGGCTGATTTTGTTCGCAACAATTTGATATGTAGGTTTGGAGTGCCAGAATCCATTATCACGGATAATGGGGCGAATCTCAACAGTCATTGGTGAGAGAGAAATGTGAATAATTCAAGATTACTCACCGGAACTCAACCGCCTGTCGTCCCCAAATGAATGGAGTTGTAGAAGCCGTCAACAAGAACATAAAGAAGATTTTGAGGAAAATGACTGATAATCGCAGAGGTTGGCATGAGATGCTGCCGTATGATTTGTTGGGTTACCGAACGACTGTCAGGACATTAGTTGGAGCTACTTCATATTTGCTAGTAGATGGAACAGAAGCAATTATACTTGCAGAAGTTGAAATACCTACATTGAGAATCATCCAAGAGGCTGAATTGAGTGATGCTAATTGGGTTCGTAAGCGTATTGATCAGTTACCATTGATTGATGAGAAGAGAATGGTTGTAGTTTGTCATGGTCAACTGTATCGACAGAGAATGATTCGTGCTTTCCACAAGAAAGTAAGAGCCAAGATATTTGAAATCGGTCAGTTGGTCCTTAAACGCATTTTCCCTAATCAGGATGAGTATAAAAGGAAATTTGCACCAAATTGGCAAGGACCCTACATGGTTCGCAAAGTGTTATCCGAAGGTGTCTTAGTCCTGTCGGAGATAGATGGCACCGAATTGCCAAAACCGATCAACTCAGATGCTGTTAAGAGATACTATGTGTGAAACTTCAGTTTGTATTTTCTTGTCATTTCCTTATAATCGTTCTATTTGCTTGTAATCGCGTCATTTTAAATTTTATCCCTCTTGTAATGAATTACGTCTAACCTGAATTCTCAAGAATGAAATACGTAGGCGGCCTATATCGGCCTCGGTCACCCTTTTATCCCTTTTTAATATTTTCTTGTATATGAACTACGTTCGACCTGAATTCTCAACAATGAAATACGTAGGCGGCCTATTATTTAATTTTATTTTTTTTTATTAATCTTTGAGGGGAAACTACGTTTGACCTGATTCCTGCCTCAATGGGATACGTAGGTGCCACAATGGCTCGGTCATAACTGGAATAGAATATTTGAGAGGGACTCAAAAATTCTCGAGAAAAATCTTTTCAACAGGTCGAGACTAAAGTGACATCGAAACTTGCAACTAGGACAAAATTTTGAAAAGATCTCAATAATTCCATGATTTGTTCATCAACAGTTCAAAATACGCCGAGGCAATTAACTGGGACAAAATTTTTAAGGATGACCTCAAAATTTTTCAATAAGGTTCATCTGGAGTTTAGAACAACTTTCAATACTTCCCAGCAAGTAATCAGATAAACCTCAAGACACAAACTTCAAAGACGTTCATTAAGTTTGACGAGACATGACACTTGACAGTAACTTTTTCAAACATTATTTTTGAAAATCTACTTTCCTTATAAAATTTTTCCTCATGCTTCAATTATTTTTGCATAAAAATGTTTTGCCTTACCTATCAAGAAGCGGGAGATTGGAGAAATCAACCGAAGATAGCCAGACAAAGAGAAGACAACCGAAGGGATCGACACAAATCAGTTCGCTTTAAACTGACAATTTTTATGTGGATGCAGGTCTATAGGTTTGCCTCAAGGTCATCATATTCCTCCATTCAACGAATATGGAGAAGTAAAAAAGGTAAGATCTCCGAAATTGACAATTTTTCTGTAGATGCGGAAAAGTTTATGCTTCTTATACCAAAGAATCTGGGATATAAGTAGCATTATTTCATTCAAATTCTCATCAAGGCAAGGTCCATAATGAACGCACGATAATGTTCGGGGATGGAGCAAATGGAAGCCCCGAAGAGAAAAGTTATGTTGTTTTACAACAACTAAAAATACTCGGAGGAAGTAATTTGCATTATATTATCAGATATGATAGTATTCTTGCCCCGATGGTTATTTATGTTGTATTGTCGAATGAGACGATACCACCACTCGGAGAGTCATTTATATCGTATTGTTAAATAAGATGATACCACTACACTGATGGTCATTTTTTATTTATATCGTTGATCGAGATGATACCGCCACCCAAAAAATATCCAGAAGATCATCTATGTTGCTCAGCGAACCATTATCTTCGTTCGATATCAGGGAGGCATCACCAAAAGATTTATACATCACGGGAAGAGATTCATGCATTGCAAGAAAGAATGCATGCATTGCAGAACAGATTCATGCATCGCGAAAAGAGATTCATGTAATACAAAACAAATTCATGCATCGAGGAAAGAGATTCATGCATTGCAGAGCATATTCATGCATCGCGGGAAAAAGATCACACATCGCAAGAAAAAGAAATCATGGGTGGCAAGAGAAAGAAGTCATGCATTGCAAGAGAAATAAATCATGCATGGAAAGAGAAAGAAGTCATGCATTGCAAGAAAGAATTCATGCATTGCAGAGCAAATTCATGCATCGCGGGAAAAAGGTCATGCATTGCAAGAGAAATAAATCATGCATCGCAAGAAAAAGAAATCATACATGGCAAGAGAAAGAAGTCATACATGGCAAGAGAAAGAAGTCATGTATTGCAAGAGAAACAAATCATGCATCGCAAGAGAAAGAGGGCATGCATCGCACGGAAACAATGCATCGCGAGAAAATCAACATCGGCTGCATAATTTTCATTTGCAAGAACAATATCAAGAGAACCATCAACAACGACGTCAAGAGAACTATTAACAAATTAAATCAGCCTATTTTATTATTTCGACATCAAAAAAGAATACATTGAAGATTATAATGCAAATATAATTTACAATCTTTATTTGATTTATGTCAAACTAGAGGAAGTTGACGTCAAACGTCCAAGGAGAACAATTAAGTGTCAATACGGATGAATTTTCAAAGCAAACCACAAGTGCGGACGACATCAGACAAAATGCAGCACAATGTGGAACTTTGTCTTAGCAGTGAACTGGGACATAGTCCAAAGAGGGGCACCAAACTCTTAGAACGCGAGCTATGGAGTGACTTCCACCACAATCAAACCACACCCCTATCAGAAGACATATGGGTTTATATTTGGGTTTGTCGGTTTAAGTTTCACATCCGAAAAATTTTGGGTTCATCGGGAGCAACTTTCTAATCCAAGTGACAATGCGCCAAGAGCTTTGAAAATTATGTATATGTAAGTTCTTAATTATAGATGTGAAGCGCGCCACATTCATGGATAAGAGGTTACAAGCCTCCTTTTCATACTCAACTTACTTGTCACTCCTCCAGAATCGAAAGTTGTCTTGCATAATAGATTTCCTTTTCAAACGATCGAGTCAAACTACAAGCAGTCGGATTCCTCGAATTGAGGGATATGTAGGCAGAATTGATGGTGAAACTCGGTTGTATTCCAACATTCACTCTTAAATCTTATTCTCGAACATTCTGATCCCTTCATAATTCGGTATCGGGATAGCTTTTGAATTCCTTCATAACCGAGCGTCAAAACAAGCTTATCAAACTACAAGTGGCCTGAATTCTCATATAGCCTGAGATATGTAGGAAACCCGATACTGGGGTTCGGCCATAATTCCTAAAATCCATACTCAAGTCCCTTTCCTAAAGAAAAAGATGTGGTCGGTCAAAATTTGATTCGTCAATTTCATTTGCCTCGAATTGCTTTCATCAATCCAAGTCAAATGAGGGACAATTGTTAACACCCAATTTTTTACCTTCATGTTATAGATTAATCATCGAGTTTCTTCAATTTCAAACGATTTAAAATAATTAGTTTTATAATTTCAAAAATAATAATAATAATAATAATAATAATAATAATATATATATATATAGTTTGCAAGTTATTTTAAATAGTTGTATCATTATTATAATTTTTAAAATAATATATGTGTTTTATAATTATGTCTTCTTCACGTGACCAAGACGAAATCAAGACGCTTCAGTTCGGCAAAATCGAAAAAGCTGCAAACCCATAACCTTAGCAGCCTAATCGATCACATCGCCATCCCCTTTTGCCCCTTTTCAAAGATTTTCTGAATTCCTTCACTGTTGCTTCGAAAAGAGCATTTCGAATTCAAATTTTCAATCCGTTTTCCCCCTTTAAATATGCCCTTTCACCCCTCTATAAAGGGTGTCCTGAGTTTTCATTGAAGAGAGGGAGAAAATTGATAGGACATAGTTTACAGAGACACAAAAAATACAGAGAGAACAGTCTGAAAGAATGTAAAAAAAAAACAAAGAGTTTGAGTCTCTTCTATTCGAGTTCGAAGTTGTTTGTTTTTTGGAGCTCATCTAAATCTGCTCACAGTGGTGGAAGTTCTTGGTGGTTAAGCTTGTCGTCCTAGTCTTGTTGTTCCGAAGAAGGTAACATCCCTTTTCCGATTTTAGATTTCTTTGTCGTGGGACAAGAATCACTTTGTTCATAGCTTGATATTGTGATCTTGTTGCTCAGTTGATGTGACGACTGTTCATTTCTTGATCATTGGAAATCATTCAGATGTTAGAATTATGAGAGTGTTGATGACAAGTCTGTGGTATGACTTGTTTGATATTCATGTTGTTTGCTTGATCTTTGTTTCCTTAAAGTCTTAATGATTCCGTTCGGTCTCGAGTTTGTTTCTCCTTGGTCAAAGTCCTTTTAGTTCACTGTTAATCTTGTTTGGTTGGCTGTTGAAAATGGTTGTTAGACATTTCTCTATAGGTGATTTTGGTTTTCATAATCTGATGTATGGGCTATTTCTTCTTCTCATTATTCTAGCTAGTAAAACTGTATGAGCTACCTCATCCCTTTTTCATGGTGTTTGCTCCATCTATATTCGACTAAGTAACATAGTTCATATGTTAGTTGTTTGCAGCTCTAAAATCTTATTCGTAATAGTGTTAGTCGTATAGTCTTTGTTTCCTTGCATGTTGAGCTGATTTATTTCGAGTTTGTCATAGTTTAAATCAAGTTAAGATAGAGTAAATAAATTGATCATTTAAGCTAGCTGTCTTAGGGCTAATTTTAGACTTAATGGAATATAGTTTTGGGTTAGTGTCAATGGCAACATTATCTTTTATGTTTTCATGTTTGGATGTTTGCTCGTTCCCAGTAGATTGCTTTATTTTCTTTTATGATTGTTTAAATAATACTTGATGACAAGCAATCTTTTAATAGTTTACAAGATGCATGTAGATCATATGTTTAGAACTTCTAAGTACTCTTCGTGTATCTTAAGCTGAATGAAAAAACGGAAATCCAGGTGCCATCTATTCTTATTTTCTTTCACTGTGGAGAAAATATTTGTTTTAGTTTTGTCCAAAATTTAGAGAACTTTGTTTTCCTTCTCCTTTGTTGAATATGTCAGATTATTGTTTGTTGTGGTTTCTATAGCTTGTTTTATTTTGACTCACTACTATGAGTATTAATTTTATTTTTTGTTTATGTCTCATGTGAACTTGTCGTAGAGTCCAATTTGGACTCAAATCCATCTCCTTTCATATCATTGAGTTATTTTGAGTCAGCCGGGTGATCCGAATAGGGCTGTACAAGGCTGGAAAACTGAAACAAGTCTTGGAAAGTTGAAAAGGGTTGATATACAGCCTGTATACATTCCGTATACATGATATACAGGTCGAAAAGTGTGAAAATATAGGTCTGAGGCGAGATACAGGTGTTCGAAATTAAGAGATACATGAAAAGAGCTGATTTATATGCTCATATACACTAATATACATCATGTGTATACAAAAACGG